TGCCGCTGTTTTTGCGCTTCCGTGGGATCGTTCTCGAACAAAAAGGGCCGCACTGTTCTGCGTGAGATCTGCATGGATTCTCCATCTTGTGATGTGATGCCGGATCCGGATTTGGCGGTCGGGGGGGGGGGAATAGAAAATATGTAATATGAAATAAATAACAAAGAGCACCAGTCGACCCAGTCTTACGCATTCAGAGCATGATATGTTTTGAGCGTCGAGCCTTTCATTCACTATGTATAATCAGGGGATGTTTTAAAATCTTTCTTTCAAACATTATTCGTATTCTGTTTACCGTAATAGCCTTACCACCGCCTAGAAAAAAAATCAGCGACGCGATTTGTAACATTTTATTTAATACGACGGGTGCCGTGCGCCTTGCGACACAACGTTTCATGATTGTAGAATGATGGCGTGTGCGCAGTGACAAAACATTTGAGCATTGGAAAGCTTTAAATACGTAGGCATGTTGAACTTCGTTCGCACAGTACATAGCCAACCGTGCTAATTAGAGGTGCGGGGGAAGGACAACAAAACTAAACACACAAAAAATCACGTACGTGCAACGGAACAGTCAACCATTCTTGTGGCACAACTCCTCACACTTGAGGCCACAGGCTTCGCGACACAGCTGGTAGGCAGAGCGTGCAGCACACTCGCTTGATTGTCGGGATGATGACAATGATGATGATGAGTTTTGTAGCCGTGGGGCGGTGCTCACGGTTAAAGAGGACACAGGGAGTGCAGCAAGTGGCGGCGATGCTGTGGTTTGAAGATGATTACATAAGACTCCTACAGCAATAATCGCGTCCAGGTCGAGTAATATATCAAACGGCTCTGCTCGTCCACCCCCCACCAACCCCCTGCCCCCCCCCCCAATCCCCCTCCCCATCCCCCTCCCCAAAAAGCCACCAACGTGCATAGACCAGCCTGGTGAAGTATGATCAAATATTCTCCATGACAGACCTGTCATTGAGAGGCCTTCTTCCAGCAATGGGTTGACAAACGAGCTGTAAATTATTGTAATTCTTATTAAATAATCACGTCCTAAGTCTCACTTGCGCAACAGACTGGTCATCAAAATGGACCGTAATATGAATAAATAAAGTAGTGCGTCCTTTCATTTGGTATACAATATTAATTATAAAGGCATTTAATAATTCAATACCGGCGAATGTCAAACCATCTCGGCGCTCAAACAAAAGAGCCTCAGCCAGCGATGGAAACCAGGAGTTGTTAATCAATAAAAAAATATTCTTTTTAGGAACCAAATATCGATTCCAAAAGTCGTGGAATCGATGACCGAATCCAGTTCATACTTTAGCAGCCATCAAACCGATTGGCACGGTCAGCGGTGGCCACCGTGAGGCACCGGCGACGTGGCTCAGCCGGTCGCCGCGGTGTGCGTTCCGACTGACGCAGAGGGCACGCGGCACAGGGCCGGACTTTTATTATTATTCGTTTTATTGCGGGTTTTTTTTGTTTTGGCATTCCATTATCAACAACGCAAACTCCTGAAATTGACAGGCGTAATTGGAAATTCCATATTCACGCGGGAGGGTCTGGCGCCACTGAAGCACACGCACGGTAATAATGATGGCTCGGGGTGGCGGTCCGTGGGTTGTTACCGTCAGGCTTATTTTCCGCGTCCCTCCCTCCCGGCGGGCGGCGCTCTCGCCGTGACCGATGATGACATTTTAGCGAATCCGCGTGTGTGTGCACACTGCAAATAACGGGGGGGGGGGGGGGGATGTCTCGCACCCACCGGCGTCTTCGGGGGGGGGCGGGGGGGTCACGGGGATCAGCTGGGGACAATGCGGAGCAAATGGTATTGTCTCTGTGATCCCCCCCAACCCCTCCTCCCACCGCCAGTGCCTTAACGCCCCCGTCCCTAACAGCCATCCATCTATCCCACTCACCCACCCACCCTACTCACTCACTCACTACATTGTCTCCCCAGTGGCGATATTTGCACACTGCACTCGGTACTCATTTGAGGCTGTGTCAACCAGATAATTGCCACTGGTGTAGGTTGTGAGTGGGAATCTAACTCGGGTCACCAGATTTGTAGCGCAGCGTGCTAACCACTACACTACCGCTCCACTCACTCACCCACCCCACTCGCTCACCCACCCCAATCACTCACCCAACCTACAATACTCACCCACCCAACCAACCTCTCCACACCGCACCAATCACCTATGCACCAACTGCCCCCACCGAACAACTGCACCGCGGCAACCGCCCTTGTCCCACGCCCCAATGCCCGCAGCGCTTCCTGGCATCCGTGGTGACAGAATAACCTCGCTACGTCGCCATGCGCGCGCATGGACACTTACTCAACCGCCGTGCGCCGTCTCCCCTCGCCTCCCCCACCACCCCCCCACCCCCCGCTCCCAGGTCTCCATTCACCGCGGTGGAAAATATTTCACCATTAGCTCGAGCGTGGGCCGTGGTGTGTGCCGGTTGCAAGGGGCAGAGTTGACTTTATCAAACGTGAGACACCTGGAACCTCCTCCTCTACATCTGAGAGATGGTCCGATGGCTGGGATATATGGATTTTGTTTGCTGTGGAGATCTGCATACAATTCCTGCATTCATTTTAGAGCCTGTCTCCGTCGTGAGTTATGGCTCAGTATTTCTCCCTCGGGGCTACTTTGTGCTGCCTTCATGCTCCCATTCTTTCGCTGTGATGCATTCAATCATATCTGCAACACTGTATGTTCAAACGGGTCCAGAGCTTTGCTTGTCTTGAAACAATGCTGCTGGAATTTATTGCACTCCAAGAAGGCGGTGCAACTGGAACAAAAACTTATATTTTTGTTGGCTGTTTCGAGCTGTGCATCACGCTATCGTTTTCCGTCGAACTAAGAACCCGCATCGCGTAAAGACACGTACAGAGAGAGGGTCCCCACCTGTCAGATCGGTAGTTCACTAGCAGTGCATCAAGCAAGCCCGACTCTGCTGATGAGAGACTGAATATTGAAACCCGGTTCAGAGTTTGCTCAAGGTTGCCAACATTAAACCCATAAGGCTGTGTTGGTGATAATTTGAACCTTCCCTCCCCCCTACGCCCCGATTTCAATGCACGATCCATTGCTATGCCAGTTAACGCATTATTATTATTATTGACAGTGGTGGTGACAATCGATGTAATCGTTTCATTTCTCCAGGCATTTGAAGCTGCTGCTTAGAGTCGGTCTAAAATCGGTGCGCCCACTGGCGTACATTTTGACGTTAGCGATCTCGACGTCGCGTACGGCAAGGGGAATCGGACAGAGGGACGGGCTTCTCTCCAAGGACATTTGGAGCGACATCAAATTACGTCTTCCGAGGACTGGACTGCCCAAACACAAAAAGTACATTAACACGCATGGAGAACGCATTAATCACCCCAGAGTAAAATTTCGATTTAAAGCTTTCGTGACTGCAAGGATTCATCTTCTTTGGTTCTTTCGGTAAAGTCACGTAGAATGAGAATCAAATAATAAATTGATAAAATAAAATAACACAATAATATTCTCACGACGTTTCGGCCACAACACAAGCGGCCTTCATCAGGTGAAGGGACGAGACTGTCTGGAGGACAGCGCTGGAGTGAAAAAACCACGCTCAGATCGCGACCAGAGTTGCTTTACCGCAGTCTTCAATGCACTCCAATGGGAATGAATGAATAAAAAAAACACTTTATAGAGCAGAAGGCTGCAAAGTTTGGAGCAAAAATAGTAACATACAACAGGTTCGTCAGACAACCGGAAATATCCGCTGTTGGGAATCAGATCAGAATCAGAAGAATATTCATTTATATTGGAGGAATCCGACAAGCTATAAAGCTCTTTTTCACAGATGTCCAGTCGGGGACATGCCTGGAATATGGCTAGACAACGCAGCTTGATGTGTGTGACTCCAGGACCTTTGCTAAAGGCGGAGCGAGGGCCAAAGCAGTGGACACACCCGAGAGAAGGACCACCTCGGAGATGGAGTGATGAAATCAGCTTGTGCGCAGGCGCTAGGTGAACTACTACACTGCGGGACAGTGAGAGATGGCGGAAGCCAGCACCCAGCAGTGGGTTGATCGAGGTTGATGGTGGCTGATGATGGCAATGATGATGATGATAATGAATTGTGATGTGCGTGCAGGAACAACAGATTTGCATTCATGCATCCGTGTTCCCTCCTTGTTCTCCCTCCTCGACCGATCTCCCCCCCTCCCCTCCCCGCTCTGCCTCCCTCAACCTCCCAAAGCCAGCTCATCGCCCCCGTGGTTATCGGTCTAACGACTCGTTTCCTAAGCGTCTGATTTATAAGCGGCAGCTCAGCCTCCCGTCTACAGCGCTGGCAGTCGAAGCGCAATCGTTGCCATCCGGCCGCCACCAGGGCAGTTGCAGTTTGCCAGTTCGACCACCGCCAGAGCTCCCCGGATGACCAATTCCCTGGGGGCGTTATTAACGTGATTATAATATTCATTATTGCTAAGCCGTACAGAGAACTCCCGCTTTATCCGAGGGCAGATTATCCGGGTTGCGGATTAACCATAATATCGTTTTTTTGGGTTAGATCGCGTAAATATAAATGGGCCGTTAAACCCGCCACCACTCGTAACAGCCAATTAGTAAAGTTTATCACGTGAACAGAACATGCCAATTCGTTACTAGTACAGCACACCGGTGTGCTGGAGAGCAAATCCACAACATTTACAATCTGAGTACGACGTTTCGCCAGTAATTACAACTAGCTTCATCAGGCGACATCCAGATCTAACTAAAACAAAACTATATTAGGGAT